TCCCCCCTGTCTCTCTCTCTCTCTCTCTCGCTCAGCAGTCGTCGTCGGTGCTTGCTCCGCTTTTTTCGACCCTCACTAGGCAGCCGCTCTTCCTCCTCCTGCCTTGGTCTTTTGCTTTCCGTACAACGTGTGCCTTGGTTTCTCCGATGTTTTTTGTGTGTTGACACCACGCTTGCTTGTGGTACGCGCTGCTCCTCCGTTACAGCCACGCACCACGACGTGGAAGGCGTGTTTTGACGGTGAGTGCTTGCGCCGCCTCTCGTTTTGGCATGTACCAGGTGCGAGAGGGGGCGGCGGCGATTGAGCAACTTTTTTTTTTTTTGACGAGCGTCGGGACTGACTGCTGTTGGGTTATTTTGTTGGGTGTGTGTGTGGTCGTAGCGTGTCGTGTGTGCCGTTCCTTGGCCATGGCCAGTCCAAGCAGTTGAAGCAGTTGTACATGTGCAAGTGAGTTGAGTCGAGTGGCCTGGATGGGTGGGTCGGTGTTTTTTTACGATAGCTATTGGTATCGTATACCGATACAATACAGCAGTTTGACGGCCCGGTGTCGGTCATGCGTCACGTTCACGGGGTGTGGCGCGCTGATCGTCCTCTTTCGACCTTTAACTTTGTGGACGTTTGTCGTCTGTGTATGGGTAGATGTCTCCGTTCGTGTGAGTTGAACCTTTTGGTGTAGTGCTATTCCCGAAGGAGCGGTTGAGAATGTGCCAAGTAACCCGTGTGAGAGGCCAGAGCATTGTTGCTGAACCTTTCCCACCATTCAATAAAACAATCAACATTTTTTTCGTGTCATATTGTACGCAGCAGCCGCTCTTGCGTGCTGTAGCTGTTGTCGCTGTCGTTGGTGGATGTTGCTGTTGTTGTTATTGTTCTGGGGCGGGCCCAGGCAGAGACTAAAAACGAAGTCTTGTAGGACTCAAGCTGTGCGAAAGCGTAGTAGGTGTAGATGGGGCGGGGGGGCGTACACACACACGGGCTGTTGCAGTTTCATTCTCATGCCGCCGACGGGCGGGTGTGGTGCGGGTGACGAACAACAGCAGTAAGGTAGTCTTCCTCTGCTTGTGGAAGGTATGATAAATCGTTTTCAGGGCCGGCCGCAGATGGTAAGGTCCTTGAAGTATTTTTCCTGTTTCGAAGTTCTCGATTGATTCGTGGTACGATTGGACTTCCACACAGCAAGCAACCTCCAAAAGCAGCACGCAGCGTGTTTCGTTTCCGGACTCCGGCATCTTTGTCTTTGGAATGGTAAAAAAATCAAGGCACCGGCAGGAGGGGGACGCGTGCGCGTGTTAAGTTTCTGTGTGTTGTGTTTGTTTTGTGTTAGTGGCGGCAGCACGCTGCTAGCTGCTGCTGCGCGGGTGTTACAGCGCAGCTACGAGCTTGCCTCAAATGTCTGGTAATATCACATTCATTTTCATGGCCACGGCTGCTTTCGAAGCCATCGCTAGATGCGGAGAGGCTCATAAAGCGTTGTTGCTGCGAGATGCTGAATCAAGTTCGTGGCTATCCGCTATGTTGCTTGGTTTGACGGTTTTCTCTTCTCGCTTAACTTGCTTACCGCCGTGCGTTTGGCGTTATTTAGTACCCGCGTGTCTTCGTCAAGCGTCCGTTGCAGAGAGGGGGCACGATTGACAAGGCGACCTCTTTGCGTAGTCAGTTTCATGGTAATTTCGTTTTGTATGTCCCACTCGTAAACCCCGGTTGAAGCATCTGTCTGCTGCTTCAAATGTGTCGTTCAGATTAGCGCGAATGGCAGACGCGAACGCGGGCGGGGTGGGGGGGGAGTAATGCAGTCCAGGAATCATAATATCATGTTTTTGAGGGGTGCGGAACGCGTACAATAATTCCAAGATCTCCGGCGGTGTTCCGCCACGATTCTAATTACACCATGAACGCGTTTACCTCCGTTCCTGATTTTGTGTTGGCAAGGCAAGTTTTTACTGCTGGATACTGGACTTGTTCCGAGGCCTCCGTTGAGACAGCAGCGATGCCAGCCGAAAGGGTAACATCTATCTATATTATGTGTACGGAAGGAGGGCACCAGACATTGGCAATGGGACCCTTTTCAAAGGTCTCCCCCACGTTCCTCCCCGCTGCGTACGTAGGAGCTCTCACGTTTTTGCTAGGCAAGAAAAGGGTTGCTTCTAGGGGCGAGGAGGGGATCGTCCTCGACAGCCGTTACAGGGAGATGTGAGCCGTTTATGGCGTCACTTCTTGTTTGCTAGGCAGTAGTATGAGGGTTAACCAGAGATCGGAAACCCGACCGGCTGGTGGCGGTCGATGCACTCGTTCGCAATGCTCTGAGCGTGGTTTTGGCCTGTGCACCGTATTTTGTGTGTGTGTGGAAAATGGCATGGCGGGGGCGAACACAGGCTTGATTCTCTTCCATCATTGCTTGGCATCGCGTGCCGGGAGCGGGGAACGACGGGCTGTTGAAGAAGTTATGTATGCGTCGTTCTTCCTGATGCTCGATGTATCACCCAGTGACGTCTGACTGCTGGTGGCTGGCTGGGGGCTGCCTGTTTCCCTCCGGTTTGTATTGTGCTCTGTTGGTGTTGTTGTTACGCTTGTGTTTGTTTTTCTGGGTCATTTTTTACGTCATTTGGTTTCTAAAAGTGTGTACCCGGTTGGGGTAGTTCGTCCGTGACAGTGGCGGGCGTCTGCATTAGTCAGTTGGATCAGTACGCATGTTGAGAAGAAGTACTATTTAGCAGAGGCCGGAACGGTTTTTAATGTGAAGACATCAACAACAATCATGCCCTCCACGTCACCACAAGTCCCACGAGTGAGTTCGATATTGTTCATTAATGTGAAGACACGCACAACAACATGTCCACCGCCAGGTCACCACAAGTCCGACGAGTTCGATGCATTTTTTTTTGTGGCCCTCCACCGTTGTCTGTAGGCGGGAGGCGGAATCGAGATATTTTGCTGTGAAATCGGAGATGCATCCCTTTGTCGACGCGATTGTGAAAAGAGGGAATCGTCCTCGACAAACGTCGGGGAGATGTCACTCTTCTTTTAGAAAGTCACTCCGGAAAGTTGTCCTCATCTATTTAACACCAGCAGCATTCGGCGAAAGGTGCCTCTTGCCAGCACCTCTGTCGTCATCAATGCTAAGATTTTCCAGAGAAATTCTGCCGCTGCCGCCGCCCTGCGTTTGAAGGGTGATAGGTCGAGCGGGGTCGTGGTGGTGGCGATACCCCTGTGCTGCTGCTTCCTGAAGACTCCCGGCCACCTGTGATGATGGCGATCGTGGTGTTGTCCGCCTGGGGGACGTGGTGAGGCTTCTTCTACCCTCTTCCTTTTCGTCCCAGTGCTTCCTTTCTCCCCCGCCTGCCCCCCCCGTGGTCTGGCCATGAGGGCCGCTAGCAGTAGCCCGAGCCGCCATCGCTGGAGCCGCGCTCCCGACTCTAGCCGTTGTGCGAGGGGCGGAAGCCGGGCGCCTCGAGGAATCATGTCCCCGCTGGTGTCGGTGATTGCGATCATCATGCTGTTGCTGATCTTCTCCGTTGTGTTGGTTGATGTCCCGGCTTTTCGTGTCCCCCTCGCGCGCGCGCCGTCGCTGCAGGTCGCGACGCATGCGCCGAATAAAGCCAACCTGATGATATGAACATCGCATACAATAGTGTGCGCGCGTGAAAGTTACTGCTCCTACACCGTTTGGCAAGGACGGGTTTTGAATCCCTGCTTGATGTCGTCGCTGTAGCAGGCGAGATTATCCGTCTGTGCACGTACCTTAGTGTACCATCTGCTGTGCCGAGTGGCCAAGAAACAAGGTTACGGCATCAAATCCTTTCTTGGGGCCAAGGTTTGATCAGCGCAGTACATATCGATCGACCATGTGTTACAGCGCAGTTCGAAATACACGGTAAACTCGATTCCGAAGCACAAATCAAAGCCAGCCGTGTAATCGTAGCAAGAGGTATACAAAGCACTGTAGGAACATGTTTGGCTCCGCCCACACGCATGAGTGCGCAACCCCTGTTGAGCCCATGTTCGTGACCGGGGCTCATGTGGTGAGTGTTGTGAGATGAACAGTGTTTGGAGGCAGAGATTATTTGTTTTCATGGCTTCAGAGAAACGGGGAAAACAGTGGACGAAATCACCCGGAAACTTGTAGTGTTTGCGAATCCCGCTTGAATCCAGTATGGATGGTACCATGATGATAATGGCCTTGTTCGAATAATGTTTCCCGAACTCTTCTTACCTGTCCCACACGTTGCCGGAGCATCGCCGCGTGTCGGGTCTGTCTCGGTATCCTCTTGAGAAAATCTTGCTCAGCCTCTCGCTCTAGACGTGCCCTCCGCTCCTCACTCTTTGCCGCACACCTGCACAACATTAGTAACAACGGTAACACCCGGAAACATCTGCATCATGTAAGATGCACCCAGCCCACACGTCGACTTCGTGTTACACACCACTCCGTAGGTATTGCGTACCCACCGGTTGATATTTTCGGCACACCTTGTTTGATATGCGCCTTCTATCCTTCGCGTAAGGAAATCAAGAGTGCTACGCACATCAAACACGACTAATTCGAAACGTAGCACTCAGCGTCTTCCTAACTCGCCGCCGCTTCGTCGGGCGTTCCAGGCAGGACCTACTCATTTTCACTTTTTGCTTTGCTTACGGGTCCATATGAACACGCTCTGGACGTACCACAAACGATTTTGCGGTACTGTAGTTCGGGCTGTTCGCCGACCGTGGGGTCGGGAACGGGCTACTAGCGAGTTCCACGCGAAGACAAGTTTTTTTCGCTCCGTACGTCGCTGTCTACCCGCGGCCACGGCGCAGGACAGAACACACTACCCCCTCGCCGTGAAGAGGGAGAGCTAACACTTGTGTTCTTGCTTGTTTCGGTTGTGCGTTAATTCCCTGGCCAATCAAGCTCTCTGTCGACAGAGCGGAACTTGCATCCCATTCAACCGACGTCGGAATTTAGACCAGGATTGCAAAAACTCTAAATTAAATCCACACGACGTCGGTTCCCCGGAGATCTATCCCAGGACCCTTCGGAAGCATGAAAACAATTTCACCCACAATTCGTTCCTGTGATCCCAGACCCTTCGATTCCACGTCCGGGGCATGCAATACGGCACCTCGCACCCGCCGCACTTGAGCTTTTTGCTCACGAACTCATCGTAAGACTGAGGGTTGTGGCACCTGCGGTTGTTTGCAAAAATCAATGCGAGAGGAGTATATTCGTGGTAACTGACAAGGCAAGGATGGATGCGTACGCCTGCATAATTTACTTCAATTCGGAATGATGTCGGATGCAACCCGTTGGCTGTCGATTCCAACGGAAAACATGTTCTATCTCACTTGTTTCATGTGTTTCGCAGCAGTCACACACCTGCATGTGAAGGTTTGTGTTACCAAGTATCGATTCTACCGATGTACCACATACGTGCACGTTTCACAGATGATGAGCTGTTCGATGAAACTCCGCTTATCAGCCATGTTATCTGCTGTGGTGGCGACCGAACGCCAGAGGTGACTTCCGCCGCCGCCCGCCGCCGACAAGACCTCCGACCAGTAACAATCCCACTACCGCAGTGAATCCTTTTTTTAAGCAATGCACCCCTACGTGATGGAATCATAGTTTTATTCTCCGTCTAAAACTACAATAATCTCACCAAAGTTAGAAGTAGTTCTCAACCGCTTGTTGATACAATGTAAAACAGTTGCCGGAGCGAGGTGGGCGGGCGGGGTCACAGAGCGACCGGTCCTTGGTTGTGCTGATTTGGTACTGGTTGCTCTCGGCAACACCTATGGGCGAGCCCGTCAAATTCACTTGAGCATCGTTCGACTCTCAACGCTGCGGCAAATAGTTGAGGTCGTCTCCTGTCTTCCTTTCGCCGTGGGCAACCTGGTCCTAATGCTTCCTGACTCTACTACTCGCGACAAACCGAAATCAGCGCTTGCATCGGCTAAATGGCCCCATACACTACCACGTGTTGTCTCGTCTACGGACTCCTAAACAACCGGTACAACAACAAGTGCGCCAGCAAAGTACCGCACATCATGGACTGACTCACTGTGGGCACTCGAGCTTGTCCACTCGTGAAGCGTAGAGGTCTTCCCCTCGCCGAGTTTCGAGCTTGTGCCTGCTGTAGGAAGCGTAAGCCTCAACCCTGCCTAAAAACCCCTCCGTATTATACCCGGCTTCCCGGACAAAATCGTACCCGCACGCTGGATCTCTGAAGGCGACGAAAAAAGTGGTGTGCAACTTTTTGACAAAAGTTCGCGTAATATTTTCGCCAATTTCACATTGCTTCCATCTATGTCTCGGACTATTGGCGTTGTACTGAAACGTACACTCGGTAAATTTCGCCGATTAAGGCTTGAAGCGTTTGACGATAAATGTGTTTTTGTTGGTTTTGTTTAATGTACTATAGTCGATGTCTGAAGCGGAAATGTTGGACGTGTTAGGGAATAGAGCTACAGGTGGCGGTGGCGGTATATGTCTTTGGTGTGGTAGTTCGCCACGCACGGAACTCTCTACATGAAGATCGTGAGCTACAATACCACTTTTCTTGTTAAAATCACTCATCACCACCTGCCTCATGGCGGCCTCCGCTTTTTTTGAACGCTTCCAAGTAAAGCTTGCCTCTTCCCCTCCTCTGCCCCGTTGACCCGCTTGTTGCGGACTACCGTCAGACCTCTCGAGTGTTGCCGTTGTTTCGCCGCCGCCGGCTCGTCCTTTCCCAGGAACGGGTCGAGCCAGATGTTCTATTCTCGACGGAGAATAGGTGCGGGTTTGTGGATGCCGTTGCAGTCCTTGGTCACCTTGTAAGTTCCCGTCCGGGAAGGTGCGAGTATCGTTGCCGGTGGTCGCTCTTTTATTTCCCCGACCTGCCGTGAAACCCTTGCTCGCGATCGCTTCTCCCAGCTGCGGGGACCCTGCCAGGCCGAAAAGTTTGGCTTGGGCGTACGTTAGCGTCAAGCCTTTCGCTCGTATGAACGGGGCCGTTTCCTTTGCGGGTCGCCGAGGCGGAGACAAGAAACGCACGCCGCCGCCGCCACGGCGTGCTGCCGCGTCTTGTCGAGGGTCGTAGCAGTAGAACTGTGTGCCGTCGTTTTGTGGTGCAAGGTGTTCGTCGCCGTTCGGCGATGTGTCGTTGTTGTCGTGGCCATCGCCGTTGTTGTTGTTGGCAGCCGTATCATCGTTGCACCTCAGCAATCCCTCGGTTGGTGACCCACCTAGCATTGATCCCGACACATGGGGGGTCGGGGGGTCGGCGGGAAAGGAGCTCCTGTCGAGTCCTGCAGGAGCCGTTGAGGACATCAGGATGTTCGCCGCATGTGCACCGGTGCCTCTTGCGCTATCTACCTTCGGGTGTAAGCCGGACGCCGGCACGCCAGTATCGCCTTGCTGCGCCACGCCGCCGCCTGTTGGAGCTGCGTTGCGTGGTGCTACAGTTTGGCCGGTGTTGGGCCCGATTGTTGACGTCGAGAGTTTGTTGCTCCTGGAATCTTCTTCTGAGGATGTGTGAGCTGAACCGGAGACGCGCAACCTCCCGTTCATGTTGAGGAGGTCGTCTACTTCCTCGAGCCCGCAGTCCATCAGAGAGTTCAGGTCGTCTTCGTTGCTGCTGTCGATGTCGATGTCGCCGTTTTCGTTGCCTTGGCCATTGTAGTCGTCAAACAACAACGCACTGTCGAATTGACCATATTGGCAGCAGAAGAACAGCCACGTTCGAATCGAGGAGGGTGTGTGGTTAAGTCATTGACTATGCTTTCGAGCACCTCGGATGACGAGACCGTTTGGCGCGGTCCACGTTCTACAACAGTAAAGCACAGCAAATAATTTGCGGTTCAAAACGCCGAAAATAGTGTCAAGCGCTTGAGTGGGTCACCATATCGAACGCCAAGGGAAGTCAAAGACGTGCGGCCACCTGGGCGCACAACGACACACACACGTTGTCAATGCCCAGCAAAGACTTTTCTTTCGTGTCAGTTTCGCACGTCGTAGGATGCAATATTCCATAATCTCATGACAAAGATACAACATACATGTTGCGTTGTAGCAAAGGAATTTCCTCTGGTGTTTGTGAGCACACGTAGTAAGTCCTGTGTCATTGACTTGTTGCCTCGCCTGGTCTCCGTATCTTCGGCCTCGGGCTCACCGACCATATCCTCCCAATCGTTCGGGCTGTATGGGTGGTTTCCCATTCCCTCCTCCTCCTCGCCCCCCTCCTCCTCTCCAATCGTTATGTCCTTTGGCGGCGGCGGATTCGCCGATTCCAACGGACCACTATCCATGGCGGTGGTGGTGAGGTCCGGCCCGTCCCAACCTTCGTCGTCGTCGTCGTCGTCGAGCTCGAACAATTTACTATCGTCGTCGTCGTCTCCATCCATGCCGAAGCACAGTGCCCACGCACCCTATATACTACTGTTTTTTTGCGTCTGTGTTACTTTGTAGAGATGGGGGGCAGGTACTCAAGACCAGCGGATCCGGGGGAGTGTCGTAGGCGGTGTGCGGTCGGGAGCCGCTGTGATACAAAAATAGAAAAATAGTCGGCAAATTTCCGAAACCGTAGAATGCGGCGAAACTTTTTTTAAAACTCATGGGTGAACTCGCACCCTCGCACCCTAAACCTACACACACACTTTTGGTTTGGCGTGGTTTAACCTCTATCAGCGAACGAGGGTATGCGAACGCGGCGACGCTATGGGACCAAAGAAAGCCAAGGCGAAGAAGAAGTCAACAGGGGGCGACAAAGCCGATGAGAAGGTGCACATTCACGAGAGGCGCAGACTGCTTAGTTGGTGCGGCGCAATCAAATCATCATGTTGTTAGAGGGGTTTGGAGCGTCTTGTGCTGTGTTCAAATGCTACGCCTAGGCGCGGAGAGCTGTAGAGTTGTAACTGCTGATGAACTAATGGCAGTGGCTGCGGTCACTGACGTTGGTGCTGTTGTCGAGGAGTTGGCGCCTATCTCACAAACGCATACCATACATGCGCGAGAGATATCTCTATACATGGTTATGTTCAAGGACCTGGTTTACTTGGTACCATTTTTTACCCTGTACGTTTCTATTGACTTTAAGCACGGGTCCCAACTGACGCGTATGCCTTCCGGGGTCACAGACTAACTGCCACCCAACAAGGTGCATACTGCTGTAGCACGAAAAATAGCCTGGCGCTCCCACCGGCCTCAGCCGAAGACCGCCTCCGTTTCCCCCTATATTCCTCCGAGAGATGGTGGAGCGAGAGAACGAAAGAACTATTGTACAACAGTCTACTGTTAAGGAGGACCCGATTCGCAGGGTATCCGTCGATTGACTTTTACCAGAATCGGTACGCCTTTAAACTTGGCGTCAGCTGGCATTACACGGTAAGCGGGTGCTGGACGCGGCCTCCACACTGCTGTGTGTTGTTGTCACGCTTTCTTCACAATCACTGGGTTGTCGGTTATTTGGTCTCACCACCCACGATAATCTAGACTTAGCCTTCTCTGCTTCTTCTCCTGTAGAGATGCTGGCTTGCGATGCTTTTGCTAAGTGTCCAAGTCAGGAGAAAAAATGTGAACCCAAGGAGATTCGAACCAGTATCCTGCTGACACCATGTGCGAAGGTGCTGCGAATCGGGTCCTCCTTAACACTACAACAACAGTAGTGCGATCAAAGGGAGTGGTGGTGAGCGCGAGTTCCGATAGTTGAGTAGGACGTGCCGCCACGTAGAACATGGGAGTTAAGAAATCCAGCCTAACACTAAGACAAACTTGAGAGCTTGGCCTTTAGAACAGATGCGGCAAGTTTTGCACGCGTAGCAATCCCATAGGACCTTGATGAAAGACTCACTTCGATGCATCTCTTAGAACAGCGGTGCTTGTTGTTGCCTTGCTCTCTTAGGTAGACCGAACAAAGGGGGCGACGCCTCCTGCAGGGAGGGGCCGTTGAAATCCCTCCCCTGACAAGTATATCCAGGAAGTTGCAGCTCCCGCCTATAGCCTGTACTCCCTAGCACCACCGTTCAGATCCTTGTGCTCAAATGCCGTGACGATTAGCCCACCCTAAGATTCGTGTATGCAGATACACGGGAAACACGAGGATAAGACAATGTCAAAGCCAGAAATCGACAATGAACCGACCATGTGATACTCTATCTCACGTTCCCAAGAAGGGCGGAGAAGACAGTTAGTTCCAATGTGTCTCGTAGAGAACTGCGATAAAACCATCACAAGCACGAACAGACTGATGACCAGCAATTTTTTCAAATTCAAGACGTTCGACCGGAGTCGATACGCCGTCTTCCACAATATGATACGGAGGAAATTTGATCTTGTAGTTGTCGAAAACGTGTTGGGTTGTCGAAAACGTGTTAGGTCAAGCCAACAGGTAGGAGTTCAAGTGCAGTCACCAAAGGAGAGGCGTTCGAACAGGGTCAAACAGCAACGTTTATGTGGACTGTTCAGAAGCAAAGATAACTTCGCGTTGAACAAGCTTGTTGTCAGTACCTGATCGAACACCTTGGTGAATAGTGGACGTAGAGATAGATACACTTAAACCCCAATAGCCGACGGTGTACATCGGGATCTTGCACAAGGTATCCGAGAGAGCCGTTCTCCGATGCTGAATCCATGGAACGGACACCTGGTGCTACCCATGCACCAACTTGTAAGCACGTTGGCAACCACTGTAGCAGCAGACCGCAACTCCAGGTGTCACGATCCATGCCTTGATGGCCTCTAGCTTCCGGATGTGCTCGATGGTAATCGGTAGTTTATAGTGGTCAACATGCAACTCATTAGGTGCTAAATCAGTTGCAACGCTACTAGAGTTGTTGTTACACTCTGAAATATATCAAGTCTGTCTGTCCATGTTTTTTTAGTTCCTTTTGCAAGTGTGTAATTGGCCTATGACTGCAGAAGGCGTTCGCATCAGTTGGACCGGTATGGACGTTTGAAGGTACCGGCTAGAGACTGGCGATTTATACTGTCAAGACATCAACACACAAACATGGGGAGGGTGGACCATGGTAAGCATGTGCCGTACTGCTGTAGTTGACTCGCTCTACATCGCCATTGCCGTTGGGGTGATTTGAGCTGGTACTGTACCAACTTTTGCGCACTGCGAGACGTTTGTAGACAGTCTTCGCGCGATAGGTTTGAAGAGAAAATATGTGTGCCATTGTCCGACCACAGACAGACGCGGAGGTCAGCAAAATCACAAGGGGATAGCACCGATGCAATGAAACATATGCAGCGCCTTCGGCAGTAAACTCAGCGGAGATGGTGGCGTGCCTACCAGAACATCAACAACAATCTTTGAAAGGCAGAGTGTAAGAAAGTACGTGTACGCCGAGGGGTGGTCGGTAGGGGGGCGAAACAATCGACGCCCACGGACACGCCAGGTGTGGAAGGCCACGACGAGCTTTGAAATGGCTATCGCGCCCGTTCCCCGGGATGTTTTGCGAGCCTGGCAGCGCAAACAATGACGAATCCACCACTAATGGAAAGCTCTAACAGCAGCTTGCCAGTCGCACCAAGAAGACGGGATTCCTACATAGGCTGGCAAAACTTCTGCTTTCTTGTCGACTATCCAAGTGGTGGTCTGTTCGGAATTGTGTTGTACTGCTGTGCTCGGCTTGTCACGGGTGGCTGACTGTTGTTCACCATCTAGGTGCCAAGAAAGTGGTTTCTCACCCCCGGTGCCTTCCCATAAAAACACGTCGATGTGCCATTCCCTGCAAAAGGTGGACAATGTCGACGGTCCGCTACCAGCCGAACCTGCCTTGGCGATGCCGAGCGATGAAGAGTGGGTCACGTTGGACTTAAAGGTGAAGAAAGCAGAGACTATGCACTGTAGTCCCTCCCTGGGTGGGAGGTTTTCCCCGGTGAAGAACAACCCGGCGAGTTATGTACCAAAAGCGTATTCTGCATGGTAATACTCTATACGATGAGATAAGCCACACGGCAGCCGCCAACAACACCCAAAAAAGAAAGGCCTTGACCCCCTCCCCCCCCCTTGTTTCGTTTCGTTTTGCCTTTTTCGGATGCCTACATTATCCAATCATCATCAGCTTCTCAATTGGAAATTTTTGGATTTCAAGCATCGGGTAAGAACAACAACACACATCTTCACGATCAAGGTGAGCGCGTTTGCCGCCACAAAGGGCTATAACTGCTTCCCGTGAGTGTTTAAGCGTAGTCACCATCTCTTGGGAAACCGTTCGTTTGCCGACTGACACAGGAGAGGTGCGATGGTTAGAAATTTCCCACCCGTTTTCCTTACATTGTCTCGCTCCCCCGAACACACACATGCCACTTTCCAAATTGTTGTGTGGGCGCTCCAATGCGCATCCTTTAGAACCTTCTGCTGGAGCATCATGGGCGGGTAGCTGACCTCATCGTCTGCAAGGGGGCCTTCACGGAAGCTAACGAGCTCAAAGACGAGATGCAGACCCTGAAAGGCTACGGCATCAAGGGGGCGCCCCGCGGAGTAGACCCTCCGGTGATGGTGCCGCTATTTTACGACTTCAAGCCGATCGCGTACGACGAACCTTTGCTACTGGTGGGTTATTTAGTCCTACTTGTACCCCGCGCTGGTATGATCTCTGTCTTGGCCGCTACATACGACTCTACGTATTTGCGCTTCATAGGGGAGGAGATCATTGGCCCGAGTCACGCACGCGTGAGAACTGCAAAATGATGTGTTGCGCGCGATAAACATCCCTGAGAGGCAGAGAGCTTGGATTCTGTACGTTTGGGCTCCCAAGCGCAAAGATTTACTCACAGGTCTTGCAACACTGGCGGTACGTGGCGAGATTCCTGGTCAATAGGCTTGTTCAGTGCTTGACTTGTAGACTGGTCGACCAGATATAGCCTCTGCTGTGTCACGTGCCCATCAAACGCACGCAGTTTTGTCGAAATCTGACTGCAGGTGTGGAATCGGTGACACGTGCTACGAACAGGAATCCTTTGGGGAGGGCATACGCTGGCAGACAGACATCATGCCGTTCGCTCGGCGGAACCAATCAAGACAATACGCCCGTCCGATCTGGCAGGTTGCATGCGAAGAAAACTTGCTTCAGACTACAGCAGAAGTCCAAACGTTAAGGCGAACAGAAGTGCAATACAACGAGTGTTATTTAATTTGTGGGGCGATTATTATAGTAGTACACAAGATACACCGTCTCGGGTCCAAACTTTGCCGAGTTAGGCGGGACCGATGGTACATGCTAGAACAAGTCACGCCTCCCGTTGGTTGGCCGTAAGCGCTTGGAAGTTACCCTGTTATTGGCGGTGTTTGGTTTTGCTTCATACCCGACGGCTCTCCCGCATCAACACATCTTGAAATGGCGTACAGCTGAGGACTCTGGCGCATATATTTTGGGGTGCCTCGCCACCGCCAGCTCGACTAGGTAATCAAACTCCGCTTGCTGTATATCTACTTCCAGGCTGACCTGGGCCGCACATTTGTCACATACAACATTTGGGCTCTTGGGGTTGTATTGCCGCGATCTCCTCGCCCGGAGCTCACCCAATAACACCCAAGGAAAAACGCCACCTTCGAGGGGAACCTGGATGACCAACCCTGCTCAAACCAGGTCAAGCAGCAAGAACTCCACGGCCCGGAAGCTCATGTGCCATTTACGTGATTCCGTGTCAAACGGACCCACGCCAGCGCCAAACGAGCAGAACGCATTGGTGCCACTCGACCGTCTTTTTCGGTGTCATGTCAGCTATTGCGCTCTTGCCGTTGTCGACCACAAGGCCGAAGAAACTCGTCGGAGGGCATATCTATCCCGAACGAATAGGATTTGCTCAGCCATCGTTACCCGCTGCAGTGAGACCGGCCAGTCAATGCCATCCAGCCGTTCGATGCCATCCACATCCTGCATGAGAACTCTCTGTGAAAACTAGTTCCTGCGGTGAGGCTGGCCAAGCGGCGTCGGCGTTGGGCTGCTCGAAACCGTATCCAAAGCACAGACGATGAAGCGACGATGGTCAAACGACGTGGTCTATCCGCTGGCTGAACGTACCCTTGAATGCCAGGTGGTGAAGTGATGCTGGCCACACGACCTCGTACATCCGCTGGTCGAATTTCCCATCAAAAATCCTTCACTGATTCTGGCCAATCAACCTCTTTGACAGGATGATTGAAGGCCGCCCCAAACGTGAGATGTTGTAGCGACGCTGGGTGGTCGAATTCCGCCCCAAACGTGACATGATGTAGGGACACCGGCCACGAAATACTGTGTACCGGTTGATCGAATCTGCTCGTGAAACAAAAGAGTTCGTTCCCTCCAAAGGCCAGCTGCTTCAGCAATGCTGGTCACGCGACCTCGTCGATCAAAAGACTTCGTTCCCTCCCAAGGTCAGCTGCCTCAGCGATACTGGCCACGCGACGTCGACGATCGGGTGGTTGACTTCACCCTGAAGTGTCAGCCCCTGCAGTGTTTCTGGCATAAAAAACGTGTGACAGGCTGATTGAAGGTCACCCCGGACGTAAGATGCTGCAGCGACGCTGGCCACGGATCACGGCGTACCGGTTGATTGAATCCACACATCCAAGAAAAGACTTCGCAGCCCCCGAAGGCCAGGTGGTGAAGAAGCGATGTTGGCCACGCGACCTCGTTGATCGGCTGGTCGAATGTACCTTCGAGCGTAAGAAGTTGGAGCGACGCTGGCCACCAAAGCTCGTGGATGGGCTGGTTGAATTCCTCTCCAAAAGTGATACGCTGTAATGAGGTCGGCCAGAAGACTTAGTAGTTCAGTTTGTTGAAGCACTTCCCGAAGATGTTCTGTTCTATATAGCGATGGCGGGAAAATGACCCGTTGATCTTCTGATTGAAGTCTGCCCCAAAGCTCAGCTGCTGCAATGACGCTGGCCACGAAGTGTCGTGGATGGGCCTGTTGGATTCCTCGCCGAAACTTAGTGCCTTCGGTCTAGAAGGCCACATCGCCTGATCTACTTCATCATCGAACCGGCCGCAGAACACCAAGCACTCCACGCTTGAAGGCACATCGACGCTGAGCAGCATCAGCGAAGAAGCTGGCCAGCTCCCACGTAACATTAAGGGGTCGAACAACAGGCATCGCGTCCATTTGGGACTCTTGTTGCCGCTGCCAGTCTCCTGCTTGGCGGCATCGTACAACAGACGGGGAGGTACGCATTGCTCCACTACTGTCAGGTGCGTCATTGACACATTTCACCACGCCAAGCAGAACTGCAACGACACTCGAGGTGGAAGTTCGCCGTCGAGATGCACCATCTTTTCCCGTCACAAGCCTCTACCTAGTTGAGGACGACAGCGACGGCGTCCAGACACAGGCTTGGGCCTACGCCGAACACACAACACCGAAACGCTGCCTAGACCTAATGAAACGCGAGGTGGAGAAAACGTGGACAGGGCACAAGCGTCCGAGAGTTGGGTGCAGACTAGTACACATGTGATGTGCTTGCCGCTTGCCGAAAAACACGAGGAGCAGATCACACGCGCACCCGTACGGTTTCATTGGTCTACGGAGACGCCTTCCATTGTGTATTAATTCGAAGATGTTGTTTATTTCTGGCAAAACAAACGAGTAAATTAACGAGTACCATGCGTGGCCTTTGAGGGGGAGAGCACAGCTGAAAACAGATTGCCCTCCGACTTGGTGGTATAGCAAGAGTGGCTATACGGTATATAATATGTAGGAGAGGGTTGAATTCGAAGCCGCGGTCTCCGGTGGCTCAGTCGGCAACTACGCCACCTTTGACGATTGGACGTGATTTCGAACGTCCGGTGGAGTCACACGAACTAGGATTTCTAGGAGTTACTTTCACCTCGAACCACGTAAATGTGGAATTCATTGATGCGCGGATACGATATATTCGTCTTGACTTTCGACGAGGGGAGGGGATGGTTGGATGCTCGTAGGGACTAAAAATGAAGGCAAGCGCCACAGAAGGGAGGGAGGAGAAACAAACCAAAATCTCGTCAGAAGCCTTCTTGTGCATACATACCCGGCTGGCGCGGCCAAACATACCGAAGGGGGTAGACATACCGCAGGGGGTAGAACGGACGTCCAGAACAAATGGGATGCTCCCAAGTAACACTTCGCTCGTCCTAAACTACGTAGTAGTAGTACGAAACAAAATGAAGAGGGGCAACGTGGAGCATCCAGTGCAACCCGACCTTCCCATATTATTGTAGTACTTCGTATAGTATACCTTTTTTACTTTAATAACTTTTTCACACACAGACAACACGGTGAACTCGTTCTCACAAGATTCGGAGACGTTTCTCATGCGATCTCGATCGGTTTCTTTCAATACGGACTCGCGGCTTCGTCGGGGACTGCGGGGTGAGGCTGGCTCATACCCCTCCCAAATCATTCGAGTGGAAACGGCGGCCGTTCCCAATGGATCATCAGGAGGAGGATCAGGAGGAGTATAGGCATAGCATAACAGATATACCGCCCGTTTGAGACACGTCTCGGCGGAGATATATTGAAGTATTTACAGTGGGGGGTTAGTGACACCAGCAGCTTGGCCTGCAGAGTGCTTTGTCGCGCAAAGCGAATGGCATTTATTTTTCAGTCGTAAAAGGCAGGCCGTAACAGCGGGATAACATTTAGCTTGCTTGGTACTCGTTGCCGAACAAATTTGTTTCCGTACACCCCGACCGGCTCCTCCCTGATTCTCTCCTATTCCATCACTCTCCATCCTCTTTAGAGCTGTCTACTGTCCCGCATGTGTGTGTACACATGTGTATTGTGTGCAGTGTGGGTGCAAACCGCGGAGCCCCGCTGAAGCACTGACCCTCAATTGATTCACGGAGCCCCCTGGCAGCTGCAACGCTGCAACAGCACACACCCGATGCGCTCGACAGCGCAGTGCATTGAAGCTAACCATGGGGGCGGATGACGAGGATGAATCGGTTTTGTCGGATCTCAGGGTGAGTTTCGAAGGAAGTTAGTTGTGGTCCGTCACTGACTGACTGTCGAAATCAACGTCGGAGACACAAGGATTTCAAAGACGCCCCGCAAAGATATGGACGTGTGGAGTCCTCCTGTAGGTGTCAATGCGACTCTCTGCTATGCTTTTATTTCCCCCATAGGTCGCCGTGTAGAGTGGTCTTCGCTTGCAATGCCTCAGGTGAACTACGTATGTAGTCTGCCGGGCGTCCAGAAAACAACACGCATACCGTGGGTGACACAAGATATCACACCCCCTCTGGACCGATTTCAACGCTCGACTACCTGTACAGCAGCACTCAAGAGGACATGCCAAGCTCTAGGGATGCGTTTTCGGAAAGATCTCGACGAAGTGGTTTCAACGTCGCAATTCTCGGCACTGCCACTCTTTCTAGTCGAGGAGAACAATCGAGCTCTGAAAATGGGTCGAAGGGGCTGTGATATCGTGTACTCCGTATGTCACCTACGGATAGTATATTTCCCAATAGTCTACATATGATTGTGATAGCAACTCGACGAGTATCGTCGCGTTGCCTGTCTGAAGCTTTCCAGTTTTATAGCCGTTAATAAAGTCGAGGGCGCACACCGCGACACGCTCGCCCACCAAGCACGACAAAGAGTTCTATACACAGAGTAGATGACATAAGATATCACACCCCCTTAACAATTTTTAATTTTCAAAGCTCGATTACTCCACAGCAGAAATCGTGGCCGGGCAGCGTTGGCACCGATAGCTTTCCGAAACAAACCTATCGTTTGACATCCTCGTCGTCGTGGACTAACATTATTAGCTGTGAATATTGATGGTGCGATATATTATGTCACCTACTACTGCCGGTACATGCCGTGCATAAGAACAACGAGCACCCTCCATACTCCAGTAAGTAAAGTACTGAAGTTTTTGAATTGAAACCTCTCATTACCCATCCATGAAGAAGTCGTTTTATACACAAATGCTTAACAAAAAAGTGCTGCAAAAACTATCCATGGACGAACCCAGCAGTGCCGTTGCTGTTGTCTTCACAATTAA